GCACATAACAACAACATTAATAATGTTGAAGTGAACTTTTTGGAGTTGACTTTTTTTCATGCATATGAGGCTTTTTATATCCTTTATCTGTTTGCATGTGATCTTAATTTTTTTTCCCATGAGTTCTTAGAAATACACATTTCTTATTAATATTTTTATATTTGTGACAAATACTCCCCGCTTTTCCCCACTCTAATCTTGCTTATTTTTGATGTGCCAAAACAATTAACATGTTTTATAAAGTCAAAATCTTCTCTTTTTTCTTTATTCCATTGCATTAATGTTTAGACCATTCAATGATAACATTAATATATATGTTTTCCTTTTGTTGTTTGGGTTTGGTTGGGGGCTTTTTTAACACTTACTTATTTGGGATTTATTATAAGAAAGGAAATAAGCCATCAACAAACAAATGGCTAGAGAAGCTGGTATATTCACACAGTTGGCATTGTTTTAATATTCACTCTTCCCATCCAAGAAGTTTTTGTCTCTACATTTTTTGTTTGGTATTGTTTTCAAGATGTCTTTTAATTGCTTAATAAAGGATTGTCTCCCTCCCCCCCAGTTAGAAACAAAAAAGCCAAATTTATTGCTATAAAATTGAATCACAGCAACCCTCCTGTTCCCCAGGTTTGCCAAGACTGCCTTCATTTTTCTTCCACGGAGCAGCTGGTGGGTTTGAACCATTGAATTTTTGTTGGGATTGCAAATGGGATCTCTTTATATTATATATAATGATTCTTAATTGGCTTACAGGCCCCGTTACGAAGTCATTTCACCCATTGTCGATTTGCTAGGAGCACTGGTAGCATAGTGGGTAATGTTTTAGGCCACTAACCCAAAGGTCAAAGGTCCAAATCCACCACTTACTCTGAAGCAGAAAGATGGGGAGTCTCTTCCCACAAATACTTGCAACCTCCAGAACCCGAGGGAAGGTCACGCTCAGTTGGGATTGACCCAGCAGCAGTGGATTTGGGTCTGGATTGAATAGAGTCTTTCAGATTTTCTAGACACATAACAGACTCATTGGAAAAACTGTTAAGTTGGTACCTGTGGTTCGGTGGTGGTGCCAGTCTGCAGCTTTGTGACTTCGTCCAGCAGTGTCCAGGAACACTATCTAAAGGGTGATCTAAAATTCAGAGAATCCCTAGGCCAGGGCACTAGAAGGACAAGAGCAGGAGTTCAGCAAGCTCCCAAGAGACTAGGTGAAGTGGTGTCCCTCCCACAGGGTCTAGACTAGGAAAGGGCCGCACACTGAGTGGACAAGCAGGGTGGAGCAGACTGGAGGAGGTCACTACCTGGTTGGACAAGAAGGAAAGATGTGGGAGATGAGGAAATATCCCCAAGATGTCATGTTTCAGAGGTGATACCCACCCAGCAAAGTACTGAGATCTTTGCAGTAAGAATGTTCCATTTTAAAGGTAAACTGAGGCTCAGAGACCTTGTCACTGAGCCCAAGTTCCCAGCTCCAGTCTGTGGCAGAGGTGGGCTTGGAGTACTCTTCTACCATACTGTACTAGCTAATGTTCTGTCTTTATTTTTCAGGTTCACTTTAGAACAGTAGGCTGACAGCCAGGAGAGGCAGTAGAAAAGAGAGAAGAGTACAGCAGAGCATGTAGGAAGGAGAGAGGGCGAGCTCCTTCCGGGCCCCTCAGTTGCTTCAAATAGGGAGGCAGAACAGCTGAGTCATTGGATCTTCCCATTGGCCCGTGAACCCCCCTCAGCACACCCCTAATGTCCTGTGCCCATATCTGCAGCTTACTTTGAACTCCCCATGAATTACTGTGGCCCCACAGTGTTCACTATTCCCAAAAATATATTCTTGTCTGTCATACATGCCGTGTCTTTACGACACACCCAAGTCCGCCTGATACCAACTGTATCTGCAGCTCACATCTCCCATTCTTGTGTTACCTGTACATCCTGTGGGTTCTCACCATACCCCTAAACCCTCACAAGCTGTGTAACCATCCCTCTTACTCCCACTTACGCTATGTCCACAGAGTGCGTCAGACGGCTTCTGGAAATCGGTAGCCACGCGAGTACCCAAGGAGCCTCCGGAGATTAGAATCCTCAACCCCTATTTTATCCAGGAGGCAGCCTTCACCCTCATCGGACTGCCCTTCAACAATGGCCTCATGGGCCGAGGGGTGAGACAGCTGAGCCCCGGGGAGAGAGGCGGGGACCTGGGACAGTGTCTTGGGAAGGAAAGAAGGGTGGCAGCATTCCTGGGAGGTGATTTATGGGGAGAGGAGTTCAGGCCTTAGGGCGGGAACAGAGCTGAGCTCTGAGGGCTTTAGCTGAAAGTTTTGGCCTGACCCCAGCCTTCCAGCTGAACTTTCCATGCCCTCTGCTCCTCTCTTCCAGAACATCCCGACGCTTGGCAGTGTGGCAGTGACCATGGCACTACATGGGTGTGATGAAGTGGCTGTCGCAGGCTTTGGATACGACATGAGCACGCCTAATGCACCCCTGCACTACTATGAGACCGTGCGCATGGCAGCCATCAAAGAGGTGCGGAGCCAGTGGGCACGTTCTCTGGGCTGGGTCTAGGGGTGGACTTCCAGACAGCGAGCAGGCCCTGGTTGCATGTGCACGGATGAATGGTAAAGGGATGAGCCCGGGCTGGTCCGGCTGCCCAGAGCTCCCTGTCCCACACATGCTGTAGGGAGGTTGAGTCACTGAACGCGCATTCAGGCCCCTGGTCACCAAGCAGAGATAGTACCAGTCATCCTCAGGGCCTCTTTCTCCAGCTTCCCACTAACCCAGTTCCATCCTGTTTGGCCTTCTCCTTGGACCCTCTCTCCTTGCGATCCTGCCACCTGTTTCCCCCTTCTTTGTGCTGCACTCCCCAGCCACAAGCTCAAAGTCATCCTCTCCCTGGCAATCCCTGCCTTCCCCCAGCAGACATCCTTGTCCCCTTAATCCCGTCCTTATCCCTTCCTAGCCTCTCGGTCGGACAGTCTGCCTATGCCGCCACCACCTCTCCCAATGGCCAAGCACCAAAGCTCTTTATCACCAGCATTCTTTCCAGGTTATTCAGATGTCCAGGAACATTGAAACATGAGAAGGGTTAGCATTCTCCCAGCCTGCCTGTCATTCTCTCCTGGCATTTGCCCAAGATCCCATGCTGAAAATTGGAACCTCGCTTACCACATCTTAACTTCTACCACCCTCCTCCTTGGGGACCAGCCTGGAAGCGAGAAACTTTGGCTAAGGTGCAGAGCCCGATTTCTGAAAATTCAAGAGTTCTAATTTGGTGGTCCTTCATTTCTGCTTATCAGTCTTTTCCCTTGCCCTTCTCTTATCCCCCCAGTGACTGTTTCATCACTTCACATTCTCCTCAGCCTCCCAACCTGCCCTCACTATCCATTGAGAAAACTGAGGCTACTGATGGGCATGGTCTTCACCTCCTGCTGGTTCATCCTGATGCTCCTCATTCCCACTAGCCTTTCACTTAACAGTCAGCATCCTAGGCAGTCTTTGCTCACACTCTGCATGTTCTCCACACGATTTCCATGCCTACTTACGGCCTCCATTACTGTCTTTATTGGGTTGCCTCAAGTAGTAACAGGCCTACAGCTGGGCCTACTGTTGGCCAGAAGGAGGTTCTAGAGGGAGACATTCACTCTGGGTCCAGATCACGGCCATCTTGTGTCCCTCAGCACTGTTACCATGACTGTGTTGGCCTTTCCATCTCTGCCGGTCATTTCTCTTCTTCTTATTTGTCCCCTTCCAGCTGCTCCTACACCTTTAATCCACCTATGGCTTCTGTTTAGTCTTATGTTTGGTTCTTTATATATTCTTTATGTAAATTTTATATGAAAGTTTAAGACAGAGAGGTAATAACTACAGCCTTGTAGTACCGGATCCTGAAGGGCTTTCTGCAAGGCGTTGGAACTTGATTCTGAAGGCAGCAGGGAAGAGGGGGCCAATTGAAGAGTTTGAAGCTGTCGATTAGCAGGAAGTTAAGTCACTCTAACGGCAGTATAGAATTGAGACAAGACTGGAAAGTAGGTAGAACGCTACAGCAGCAGTCCAGGCAAGAGGCAGTGACTTCTGAACAAGACCTTTCATGTTGGGAATGGGGATGAGAATAAGAAATTAGAGTTTTTATGTCAGCAGGACCTGGGACCTGCTTCTGAACAACTGTGAGGAAGAATGGGCATTGCCTTTTACGAACCGCTTTCAAGTAGAGGCTCTTTTTATTCTTCTGCCACACATAGCTCCTTTCAAACCATTACTTTTCCACCAGCTTATAAAACTCATCCAGCTCCAAGATGTATGTCATCTGCTGCACTCCCCTCAATGCAGAGGACTTAAGACGCTGGGCTCTAACATCACACCGCCTGGGTTCAGATCCTGGCTCTGTACCTGAGTCAGAGAGCTAGGGAGATCATGGTGATGATGCACAAAAAGGCCCCAGCACATCGTAAGCACTTGTATTAGTCATCACTGGTAGAAACACATTGGTAATGTGTTTCTGTTTTCTCATCACCGTCACCTTCCAACTTCCTGGATGAAGAGTCACTGAAACTACTGGTATCTGCGCTTAGAATCCCCACTGTCATCTTAGTTGTATTCAGGTCTCAGGGGAACCAATCCCCACTGCTTCACTTCTACTCTTCTCGATCAGCTCATTCTCCAAGCCTCGCTGTGTATATTGTATGGAATGTGAGACAAAAGGAACAAAAATTGAATGCTAGGAGCACTGATATTTCAGACATGCCAGAAACAAAACAAGAAAGAATAGAAATATGCAGGGCTAAGGAGGCAAAGAAGAACATTTTAAGACGAGAATAGCAATCGTGCAAAGAGTGGACTAGCAAATGCTACAAAGAAGTCCAGTAAAATGAGTGTTAAGAAAATGAGTGTCTATCGGGTATGCGGACCTCACTGCTGACTGTGATGAGTGGTTTTAAAGGGGTGGGAGAATAGGACACAGACTGCTTTATTTGAACGGTGAATGCAGTAGAGGCTGCAAGTGGCTGGTACACAGTAAAGTGCTCTTCGTCAAACTTGGATGAGAAGGCAAGGAGAGAGACTGAGCAGATGCTAGAGGAAGAAGTGAACTCGTACAGGAGTCTGATGACACAGCAGAGAAGCTTGGGCTGGAAACAGACATTTTAGTTGTAAGTCCAGCTGCTTGTTTAGCTGTAGAAAAGGCATGGATATGATTTCCCAGGGATTGTGCAGAGAATAAGCAGCCCAGGTAGTCAGGGCTGTAGCCTAGGAACATAACATTTAATGGCTGGATGAGAAGGAGCCAGAAATAAAGACTGAAATAGGGGGATCAGAGGGAGAAAATCCTCTGAGACTGTAGACAGTAATTTTGGATGGACAGTGTGTCCAGAATAAAGGGTTTTTATAAGCATGGTTCAAAATCAGGAAAGGAGTGTGTCAGGGATACCTCTTGTCTTCATACTTTTTCAATCTATATCAGGAACAGATCATTCGGGAGGCTGGTGTTTATGAGGAGGAATGTGGCATCAGAACTGGAGGAAAACTCTGTGCAGTGCAGATGACACAGCAATGCTTATTGAAAGTGAGAAGCATTTGCTACAGAAAGTCAAGGACTATAGCCGCCAATACAGATTGAAGCTCAACATTGAGAAAACAAAGATTCTCACCACTGGACCAATTGGCAGCACTGTGATGGATGGAGAAGAGATTGATATTGTCAACAATTTCAGCTTGCTTGGGTCCACAGTCAACACTCTTGGAACTAGCAGCCAGGAAATTAAAAGACCAATTGGATTAGAAAAGTCTGCTGTCAGAGACCTCTCTAGAGTGTTGAAATGCAAAGATGTCAGTCTAGAGACTAAGGTGTGTCTGATCCAGTCATAGTCTTCACAAGTACTTGTTATGCATTAGAGAGCTGGTCAGTGACGAAGGATGACAGAAAAATTGATGCCTTCGAGTTGTGGTGCTAGAGAGCAGTATTGAATATACCATGGGTTCCCAAGAGAACAAATAGGTCTGTTCTGGAGAGGATGAAACCACCTTGCTCTCTGGAGGCAAGGATTCTTGAAGCTCCACCTCACACACTTTGGGCATGTTGCCAGGAAGGACTAGTCCTTGCATAAGGACATCATGCTTAGAAGAGTGGAGGGACAGCGCAGGAAAGGAAGACTCTGGATGAGGTGAATTGACACAGTGACTGGAGTAATAAGGGCAGGTGTGTTGGAGACAGTGAGATTGGCTCAGGAAAGGACAGAGTTAAGAGCAATTGTGCATAGGGTCATTATGCACATAACAATGACCTATAAGGATGGAAATCCGGGCTAGCAGAGCAAAGCCCTGCCCACAGTTCTTGAAGATGTACTTACCAGGATAAGAACAATGAAAGGCAAGTGCAACTTCGCCTGCGCCAGGCCCAGGCGTCAGTCCTCACTACAGGAAGCTACAGTAAACTTGACTGCATGGAAGGAGGTATTAGAACTAACAACTAGGAGCTCTGGTAGCCTAGTGGCAAGGAGCTGCAACTACAATCCCAGAGGCGCACGGTTCGAATCCACCAGATGCTCTGCTGGGGAAGGAGGGACAATCTCTTCCTGTACCAGTCAGATCTGATTTGATGGGACACTCACACTAAAATAATAAAATAATAAAAAAAAGAACTAACAACTAACCCCACGGCAGACTTTTTATATTTTTACTGTGAAAATTATCAAACATGTTTACAAGTAGTCTCTGATGTACCAGGGTTATATTCCAGTGCCTCCATTTTAGGTCAGTTCTGAGGTAAAGTGAACACTTTTTTTAAAGTTCTCATTTTTATTATTTTAGTATCAGTATCTTTGGAAATTCTATGTTTATTTGTTTTGGGGTTTGGAAGCATTACACATAGACTTGAAGATATATTTTAGTATAAACCATACAAAACAGATACACATACCCATTTTTTAGAAAAATGGATGATGTCAGCATTGTGTCAGTTGGAGTAAATAATTCCAGTTGTGAAGGCTCTGGACCACCAGCTTATGCCTGAAAATGGGGATGGTGTCTCTCAGCAAAAATGCTGAGAGCTGGTTTAGGTCCTTTTATGTGCCACAACATTGTATGTAGTACAGATTGTTAAAAATAAGATATACAAACCAAAACCCAAACAAATGTGGATCATAGCTCAAATCCATCATAAACTGAGGATTTCCTGTATAGAAAACAGTGTCATGAACTCCAAGTACCTGTCATCCCCCTCTCCCAACCATCAACACTTGAGCAAGGTTTCATCTATTCTTCCTCTCATGAAAGCAGGACTGAGCATAGCAGTTCATCCAGGCATGCTTCAGTAAATTTCTCCAAATGATAGACTTTAACATCATCAAACCTAAAAAAAAAATTAACTTCTTTATATCATTACATAGACCCACTTGGTGCTCCTGAAACTGTCCCATCAGATTGGTTCCTCTTCCCTAGGAAGAGATTTTCATTAAATCGTTTTTTATACATTTTTGCATTTGCTTGAATCTTAACCCTGCCTTCCGAGCCTCAGTACTCGTCCCCATAAAATCTAATTTTGTTCAACAAATATTTATTGAGCACATACTCTGTGCCAGACACGGCCCTAGATACGAAGATATAGCAGTCAGCAAAAAGCAAGCCCCTGCCCTCAAGAACAAAACAAAGAGACTGCGGGGCAGATGCAGAATCCAGAGAGTGAGAGCGAGTCTTCCAGGGGTGTGTAGCTCAGAGGATTCACACGGAGCAGAATACAGTCATGAGTTTTGGAGGGACTGGAGTTGGGATTTTGGGAGGGACAGTTTTGGAAAGCAGCCGTAAAGAATGAAGAAGACCATGCCTGCCCTCAGTCCCTGTGGAAGAGGAAGCAAGAGGGAGAAACGGTTCCCACTGGTCTGAGGACCTTCTCTTTAGAGAACAGCCAGGGTTGTGATTAATACAGAACATTGACGAGAATGTTCAGAAAAGAATAAGGAATTCTGCTGATAACGACCCGTGTTTCAACTTGAAAAGATTTAGAAGGTTGGAGAGGGTTGACTAGATTGAAATAAGGTTCAGACAGACCCACATAGGTAATGTTTCAGTGTCTGCCATCAGTAGACAGACTGTTAATAACATAATTGTGAGACTCAATACCGACAAGTGCCAAGAATCATTTCAGTATAAACTATAAGGTTATTGGCCTTGGTGCACTCATTTATTCAATCAGTTCACTCTTTCTTCATTCTTTGAGAAGCTTAGTCATCAAAGCTTTCTGGTGAAAGTAATGGGGATAGGAACGAGCTGGACCCAGGGTGAGGTTTTTCCCCAGAAAAGCCCTGGAAGGCAGCACCATCTTGTCCTTTGCTCATTAACCATGAGATTAGCCTCTTCTCTTAGCTCCGTGGCTCCCTTGATCTCAGCAGCAGGATTTCATCAGCTGCCTCCAGGCCTTGAAAGTGGATTGCATCAGGCAATCACCAGTGACTCAACCACTCCTAGCTGTTCTATTTCCAATGTTGGGCCCACGCCGAGGCCTGGGCAAGGTTAGGTGACTGACACTGCCTGCCCTCTGGGGGCCTAGGACCTGTATGTTGTGAGAATTGATGGGGGTTAATGTCTATGGGACGAGATTCTTTCCTCAGCTCTAGGGAGGACAGTTAATAAATGTGATACGGTTCTGGGATGAAGAAAGGGTTAGAAGATTATTTTCTCCATGTCTTAATAAGAGAGGATGGAGTCCTCATTACCAAGGTCAAGTGTCGCCCTCAAACCTTGCAAAATTCTAAAGTGTCAGAGGGTGGTGATCGGAAGAGGGTACCAAGCACTGGGAAAGAGCCATAAGTTTAAGCAGGGCCCTGTCCCTGCAGACACGTGGGCTGCCAAACCAGTCACATATCTCCATCTTTTCCCTTTCAGTCCTGGACACACAACATTCAGCGAGAGAAAGAGTTTCTTCGGAAGCTGGTGAAAGCACGTGTCATCACTGACTTAACCAGTGGCATCTGAGGTGGGCCCAGCACATGGCCACAGAGGCCCAGGCACCACCAGGAATCAGCAGTGGCCACTGCCACCCGCGCACTTCATTGGCCTCAGTCTGGCTCTGCCAGAGAGGTGCAGGAGCCTTCAGACCCAGAGAAGGACAGTACCGAGTGGTCCCGAGGGCAGCGAGGCCTTGGCAGGGCAGCCAGAGTACATGCTGGAGGCCAGCCTCAGAGATCAGCACTCAAGCTTACTCTCAGCCTGAGTCCTTGACGTCAGGGTCCAGGAAACAGCTGGCTGTGCCCAGTAGGCCCAGCATGAGGAGGTGGGACGCTAGGCAGCAAGGCTGCTGCCAGAATCATTTCTCCAATCAGTGTTTGGTGTATTATCATTTTGTGAAATTGGGTGGGGGTGGGGGGTAGGGATAATTTATTTTTAAATACAGTTGGAGATGTCTAATTTGGTCCACTTGTCATGCAGAAAGAGGCCCACTAGGGGGCCCATCAGGCAGTGGTACCAATCAGTAGGCTCCCTGTAAGGTGGGAGTGCCATGACTGGCCTGTACCCTTTCTTCAGGGCTACAGGGAGGTGGGCAGGATCGCATTCCAGCCTCCTCAAGCTCCTGACACTGTTTAACCTTTCTTGGGGAGCAACTGGAGTATTCCCACTCACCAGCCCCTAGCTACTCCACGGGGAGACCTGGGAGGCATCCCTTTCTGAGCCATCAAGATAGCCTCGGCTACAGCAGAGAACTTTAGAGCTCAGGAGGGGAGGCCTGGCCCAACTCAGTGGAAAGCACCTCTCCACTCACTGCAGCTGATCCATAGGCTGGTTCCCCAGATCTGGACTGACCAATTCATCAGCTCCTTTGGGTGCCAGCAGTGAGACTACCAGGCCCTCAGCTTCTGCCTTTAGCTTGGACAAGAGGGAAGTGAGGCCCTAGGACCTTACCCAGGCTGTGGCAGCCATTCTAGGCAGCCGTTAAAGGAAGCAATAAAGCTTTTCCCTGAACCTGGTTGCCTCCTCCTTTCTCTGGCTTTCCTAGAAGCTCTGAGAAGCCAAGGCCCCAGCAACTGAGCTAAAACCAATCCTCAACTCTCCAGGACACAGGTTTCTTCTGCTGCCCTTTCAGTTCTCCTATCAAATGTAGTACCTAGGTTTCCCCTAGAGGACTCGAGAGCCTCTCTTGTCCCAAGCAATCGTGGACTGTCTATGAAATCAGAACTACCAGGGCAAGCCCCAGACCCATTCACATGCCTGTGGAAGAGCTAGAAGACTGGGAAAAGTGGAGCCCGCAGCGCTAAGACAGTGTCTGGGTCATCACGGCCAGAGCTGTGCATAGGACAGAAGAGAGAGACTGCTGAGCCCCCAGCAGAGAGGCCCCGGCCTTCCCCACCCCAGCACCTCTGGCTGTTCTTTGACAAAAACATGTGAGCGTCCTCTCCCACCAGCCTCCGCTGGTGAATTTTAGAAAGGGCTATCCACATAAAGCACACACACGTCCCGCCCTCCTGTAAGAATCTGATCCCTCTTTTCCCAGCATTCCCTAGGCAGGCCTGAGACTAGGGTGAATGTGCCTGAATTCATGAGCACTTCATGTCAGTCATGACCACCATGGCAGTAAGTGGGGCTGGTGAGCCCCTTTGCACCTTCTACCCTGCCCCATACAAGAGTCCATGCAGACCCAGGCCCTCCTGTGGGTGAGCCCCAGGAACAGTCCTTGTCATCTCCAGGAGCCCTGCCTCACAGCTTCTCCTCACTTCTGTAGCCTACCCTCAGGCAGAAGCCTCCTCAACTGAAGGAGAAAGCAAAACCCTGTCTCTAGGTTCTGACAGAGGAACAAGCAAACCCCAAATCTCCCTTCCATTTCCAGCTCCAGTGTTCATCACATTCTATGTAACAGCACCCCCTGGAGTTGTACAGGCCACAGGCTCCACGCCTGTAATCAATCACTGACAAAGTCCCAGGGAAACCACCGTGAACTACCAGTTATGGGAAACAGTAGATAGCAGAGCTGCTGAACCCCCTCTGCCAACAGGGGTTCTCTCAAGTCAGTGGACAGCCGACCTGGCCACCAACTCTCTGCAGCCTGGTTTTTAGCCCCCCACCTCTACACACATTACTTTCACAGGTGCTGTGGTTCTCAGCCTGGCTGCACCCCAGCATCACCTGTGAAGATTTGGAAACCTGCACATGCTCACCCTAAGATTCTGATTCAAGGTCTGGGGTGGGGCCCGGATGTGGGTAGTTTTCAAAGGTCCACAGGTGGTTCTGATGCAGGGTTCAGCTGGTCCACACATGTTTGCTTAGCTCACTCATCCCCACCCATGGCTTTGAATTGTCATTTGGTCCACAACTCCCCAGCTGCCACCTCTGGCCTAGCTCTCTCCGTTTGCCCCAGGCTTACAAATCCAGTTGCTTCCTGAACATTTCCACTAGGATGATGTGCAGGCCCAGTTCAGCATGCCCAACCCTGCGCTCATAAGCTGTCCCCAGCCAGGAAGTCTTCACTCCCTGGGCATCAGAGCCAAAGGCCTTTCTACTTCCCACAACATCCAATCGGGCACCAACTGAATTATCAAGAAGTGAGCTGTGGAATGGGCCCTGAGCAGCACCTCAATCTCCACCACCGATGGTTTCCTATTCTCCCGCTGCAGCTGAGCTGCCCCATTAAAATAGATCGCCACATTCTGCCGAGAACTTATGGGGTCGCCGTAAGTGTGGCCTCCCCTTGCTTCCCGTGCACTTTACTTGCCACTACCTCCACCTGCTACATTGATTGGGCTTCTGAAACGCTACCCTGCAGCTCCTACTCCAAACTCAGCTCAGAGGCTGCTCTTCCAAGGCCCCCTGCTCGACCCGCTGCGCCGCTCTCCGCAGCACGGTCCGGGCTGTGCGGCCGCTCTACCCGCGAACCCTAGGCGGCGGGGGAGGTGGTGGTGGGCGAACACAGCGGGGCCTTGTAAGCCCCGACCTAGGGTCTCGGTGACCCGAAACGGCGGATGAGCCGTCTGTGGAGAGAGAGAATAATTCTAGCAGTGATCCGAGAGCGGAGCGCCGGCTGTTAACCCCCAAGCAGCGCGCTTGGCGGCCCAAGGCGGGACCGGCCGGTCCTCCACCCTCTCCACCCCGCCTGCCCCTCCCCGCCCTCTGCCCGGCCCCGCTCCCTACTTCGCGTGTCTACACACTGCGCGCCTCTTCGCGCCCTCGTTCTCCGCTCTGTGTCCCGGGTCCCCTCCGGGCGCCCCCCCCCCACCTCGGCGCTCCGAGCTGGACCCGGAGGGGACCAGACCCCGCGGGCGGCACAGCCAGGTGAGCCCTGGAAGGTGGGGCGGGGCGGGGGCGCTCTGGGCCCCACCCCGGGATCCGGTGACGCCGGGCCTGGAATTTGACACCGGACGGCGGTGGGCAGGAGGCTGCGGAGGGATGGAGTTGAGCCCGGCCCCCAGACACGGCCCACGGGCTCTGCCAGCAACAGGTCCTTCGGGCTCCAGCCCTCGCTGCGACCCGAGCCCCGCGCCCCGTACCCGCGGTAAGCCGATCTGCTTGCCCTTCCCCTCGTCCCAGGCTGGCTGGATGCGCCGGGGACCCCGTGGAGCGGGCAGGATGGTCCCCCTCCACTCCCCTTTTTGCATCCTCCCCTCTCCGGGCCCGCCGCTCTGCTCTCCACCCCTCCCTACCCTTCTGTCCCTGCTTGCTTGGCTTGCTTGTCAGACGGCGCTAACCCTGTGGGCCATCTGTAATTTGAGGCTCCCGCTGCCGCTGCAGGGTGCTGTCTGGTGGCCAAGGCCGCGCTTTTGGCTAAAGGATACGCTGCCAGGTGCACAGCCCCGGGCATGAGCCATCTGAGCTGCCGAGGGAAGCCTGGCACTGCTTCTGAGAAAGTTGCCTAGAAGAACGCACCAGGGTCCGTGGTGAGTAGTGGACTGGTGGGCTGGAAAGGCAAAAGCGAGAGCACCTAAGGGGAAGAGAGAAGGCCTGAGCTGCCTTCTGAGGGCCCACTCCATGACTTCTTCCATACAGATGGTCCCTAAGGCTTCCTTGTGGGGGATTGTCACTCAGTCTTCTCTCCATCAGTGAGAGCAGCCTCTAACTGGCCGGCCTCCATGAACCCTGGGCCCAGTTAGCTGAGACATGCGCACTTGGCCCTGGAGGACTACACCAGGGAGGTCTGGCCTACAGGTGTGCAGGCATATTTTGTATGATGGTAGTTGAGGCTTTACAGCTGGAACCCAAAAACAGGCCAACCAATCTGTGCTTGAGAGGATTCCAGGACTCACGAAGGATGTTTGTAAGTTCCAGGTGGTTTAGGAAGGTTGGTGAGGCTCAGGAAGGCTGGCTCATGGGGGAAACTTCTAGAGCAGAGCTAGTCTACCAGTAGGATGCTGGAAGGGAGTGTCCTGAGGGAGTTCTCAGATTAGCTCAGTTCTCAGTGATCAACCTAAGTGTCCTCACTGGCCAGTGGAACTGAGGGTATGGAAAAGCCCACTCCTCCTTTCAATCTGCAGACTTGGGACGTGCTGCCCCCTGGTGGTCTTAGAAAACCATAGCCTAGGCCTCTCGTTCTCTGAGGGCTCCTACCCCTTTGCAGGCTCTTAGAGGTCATCTGTGGTCAGAAGTGTTCATCTGGGGCTCTAGGTCCAGAACAGAGGTCACAGAGAAGCAGGATGCGCCAGTATAGGCTGAAGTTTGGTCTTCATTGTCAACAAACCAACCTTCGTGGTGACCAGCAAGCACTATCCTTTTTCTCCAGGTCTCAGCTTTCTCTTTTGTGCCATGTGGCTTTCTAAAAAGACCCAGGGTGTCCAGCTACTCCTTTCCCCAATCAGCCCTGGCAGTACCAGCCATGCAGCACGGAGCAGAAAAAATGTTGCGGAGTGGGGGACAGGGGGAAAAAAACACCACCCCAGCTTTGTAGTTCAGCTGTTTGTCCTTAGACAATCATTGGGCTTCTCTGAGCCTTGTTTGCTCTTTTTGGAAAATGGGGATTATACCATCATGTGCTGTGAGATCTCAAAGAGGTAACAGCTGCAAAGTACTTCACATGCAATGATGTTCTTAATACAGTAATTTATCCTCCTGGGTGGAGTCTGGCTAAACAAGTCTCTTGTTCTCACCTGGAGAGATTGAGATGGAGGGAGGGACATTCTATTTAAGAGATAATTCACCTCGCAGTGGCCCAAGCTGCCTCGAGAGGAGGGGGGCGCGGGGAGCAGGCCAACAAAGGCTGACAAGAGCCCCTAATGTTGATAGATATGGAGCCTGGACTTGGAGGCCCTTCTGTGCTACCCCACTGTGCCAAATATAGGCAGCAGGTGAGTGGTTCCCCCAGGGACCCTTTCATTGATATATGGGAGTGGTGGGCTTGGTCTGGGCAGAGGTCAGATGTGGGAGGGGAAATGGTGGGAGGGGGGACTGTCACTATGGGTGAAGGAAGTCAATTCTCTGCATATTCGATGCTCAGGTGATCCCTCCCCTAGGCTCAGGTAGGCAGACTCCTCATCCTTGAACCTAAATAAATCCCCACCTGGGGATTATTCCCTTTCTGATCTCTGCTATTCCAGTCCTTCCTTACCCCAGGACTCTTCCTCCCTGAGGCTCCACTTTGTCCCTCTGTGCAGTCCCCTGTGTGGCCGACCCTGGCCGCCCTGGCCCTGTTGAGCAGCGTCGCCGAGACCTCCCTAGATCCCGCACCCCACAACCCCGCCACCCGTGAAGGCCCCGCGCCTGTCCTGGCTCCCCCAGCCGGCCACTTGCCGGGTAGGTGAGAGGACAAGGGGGCGGGGGCAGGGCTGGCGCTGGACACCGTGTGTGACTCTGTCTCCTTCCAGGGGGACACACAGCCCGCATGTGCGGCGGAAGAACCCGGCGGCCACCGCCCCCATTACCCCGGCCCGCGCCCTCTCCTCCTGCGCTGGCCCGCATGGCCCGTGCGGGGAGCAGCCGCGCGAACCGGGCGCGGGCCGCAGGGGCGCGGGGATGCCGCCTGCGCGCGCAGCTGGTGCCGGTGCGCGCCCTCGGCCTGGGCCACAGCTCTGACGAGCTGGTGCGCTTCCGCTTCTGCAGCGGCTCCTGCCGCCGTGTGCGCTCTCCGTACGACCTCAGCCTGGCCAACCTGCTGCACTCGGGGGTCCTGCGACTGCCCCCAGGCTCCCGGCCACTCACCCAGCCCTGTTGCCGACCCACTGGCTACGAGGCAGTCTCATTCATGGATGTCAACAGCACCTGGAGGACCGTGGACCACCTCTCAGCTACCGCCTGCGGCTGCCTGGGCTGAAAACTTACCAAAGAGTTTGTGTACTGGACCCACGGATCTTCTATAGAGTGTTTTATGAACACTCTCCCACAGGGGCCTAAACCAAAAAGGTGAAACCTTAGCCAGTTGATGCACATCAGCCATGGAAATAAGGATCCAAGACAGGACAGCAGCCCCAGGGTCCTTACCCGGCAAGTTCCAGCACCACAGACACCAGAGACCTCAGAAGCAGAGACACCCTCCTCTTAGAACCTACTCCTCAGACTTTGGTACTGATCAGACCACAAACATGCAAGCCCTACTTGGAGAAGTCAGTAGGGTCTGAGGCCCGAGCCCAAGACCTGCTGGATGGAATCTGAAAGACATATTGTAGTTACATGACTGAAAGTGCCTTATGGAGCTGCCTTTGTACTCACATGTGGAAGCCAGAAGCCTATTTATTATTTCTAAGTTATTTATTTACTTCTGTGGCTTGTCAAATTCTTTGCTGGGCAGTGGGGTCTGGGTGGGCAGAAGAGGCTGCATGGGGACCATGACCATCCACTTACTCTGTTCTGTCCACTTGTCAATCACAGCCCCTCTTCTGAGTCTGGCCTGGCTTGGCCCTCCCACTGTGGAATACGGAACACAGGCAAAACTGGATTGCCGAGTCTATGCAAACCGGCAGAGTCCCTGTTCAATCCCCAGCACTTGTTTAGCTATGAGGAGAGATTGCAGAGCTTTCTTTGGTGAAAGTCATACCCTTGTGACCTCAGGCTTTCTCAGTCAGTTTACCCCTTTGCAGTGAACCCAGGAACGACACATTGCCTGGCCTCGCTATCATTAAGCAATATCCTAGCATTGAAGGAATTATCTTGAAGGCATCTTGGGGTACACACACTGCCTCCTCATGCAGATGTGTCAGCATGGGGGGCTCACTACCCACATTTGTGGAAAGGCTGATGGTAATGAAAGAGTGTACAGTGGGGAGATGGTTCAGGCAGATGACATACAGGAAAGGACTGAGGGCTGTCAGAGAAGCTTGAGTCTTAGGTAATGATCGGAGATAGCAGCAGATTTCTGTTAAGCACCTGGTGGTGCAGTGCATACTCTCAGGCTGCTAACCAGAAGGTCAACAATTCAAATCTGACAACAACTCCAAGGAAGAAAGATGAGTTTTCTGGTAACCATTTGTAGCCTCAGAAGCACAAAGGAGAGTTGCTCTGATTCAGAACCAACTCAGTAACAGTCGGTCTGGTTTTATGGGTTAGATAGGTCTCTAGGTGGCACAAACTTTAGCTACTAACTGAATGGTTGGTAGCTGTGCCCCAACTCAGTGGTGCTACAGAAGAAAGGCCTGGCAATCAGTCCATAAAGACTAAAGGCAAGACAATCCTGGGGAGCAGTGGTACACTGTAACACTAGGGGTCACCATGAGTTGGAATTGACTCAGCAGCAGTAGGTTTGGGTTTTGGGTCTGGATATGCCACATGATAGACCCCAGAGACACCTGAGACCCAGAACTGAAAGCGACATCATCCCTACCCTCGAAAAGCTTGCAGTAGATTAGGAAAAGCAGGCAATAAATACGCAATTATATACATAGTTATTTACATTCAGTTTGACAAATGGTATGACAAAGGACAGGAAGACTGTCCTTGAGTCATTGACTTTTTTGGTGTTAGAAATTCGATAACACACACACCCCAAGTCTTAGGGAGGAAAAGCCAGTGATGCATCCCCCCTGACTTTTTTGCACATCCTTTGAGCACTTATCTCCTGGATCCTGTGGAATTGTACTGGATAGATCTGTGTGACTTTCTTTGGGGATTAGATGGGACATACTTTTGAAAGAATTGTGGGACATTTAAGGGGCTGTCAGGAGGCAGCGAGGATATGTGGGCTTGGAGCGGAGGAGGAGGGTCTGGACTGGAAGCATATCTGGGAACAGTCGACACAGTGGCAGCAGCTGCAGCCAAGGCTGGGGAGAGCACCCAGGGACAGATGTGACCAGCGTTGCAGGAGGGGCCCCTGAGGCAATTCCTTCCAAACTTGCAGAGTTCCTGCTGGTTTAATACAGGCACCCCTTTAACCTAGGCTAGAAGAGGGGGCTGGGAAGAGCACTGAGGGCTGTGCCCACTCTCGGTCAAAGTGGAAAACTATGTCTATGTCTCCACTCTTCTGTGTTCATAGGCTCTGTTCTGTTCTCTCACAACTTTGAGGCTTTATAATCAAGCACCCCTTGGTTCTCTCTTTTTGCCTCCAAATAGATGGAACCTCCAAACTAAGATTCTAAGGGGAGCTCTGGTGGCCTAGTGGCAAGAAGCTGCACTGCAATCCCAGAGATACGCGGTTCAAATCCACCAGATGCTCTGCCAGAGAAGGAGGGGCCATCTCCTCCTGTACCAGTCAGATCCGATTTGACGGTGCACACATGTACAAACAAAATAATAAAATAAATAAAATTTAAAAAAAAAAACTAAGATTCTTACAACCCTCCTACTATTGAGCTTGTGAGGGCTTACAAAAGTTAGATCCCCAACCTAGCTAGGGGCGGTGGGTTTCATCCTGTTAATCCTGGGTCATTTGGCCCAGGGCGCCCCCTGCTGGAGAGACTAGGAAGCCTCCTACTCCTCCAAACCCTCAACACTCAGCAAAGGAGTGGACATTGTTGATCTCAAAGGCACTTGATGGAAACCACTGAAATCACCTCTGACTATGCTCATAGGCTGAGGACTAGGTCTGGGTCTGAGCCACTTCAGGCTTGCAACAGTCCCCGAATTGCCAGTCTCTGGGGAAGTGGATAGACCTGCGCTACATTTTGACCTCAGAACCCCAAGAGTCTATGCTCAACATCCCACTAAGTCCCAGGTGAAATAACAGTCTTTCTGAGAAGATATTCCCACAAAAACCAGCCACCATTTGTAACCCAAAACCCAAGTCCCTCTTTTTTAAAGAAAAAAAATAATAATAATAACATCTGCCTGGAAAGAAACGGGCTTTTTCACCTCTTCCTACAGCATAGCAGTCACATGACTGGTATAGGCAGTGTGACCTGTCACATGACCATGTAGGCAGCATAATTTCACCCTGGGGGACCCTCAGTGGTTCTAGTATCACCACTTTGGACCAAGATTTTTGTTTCACATTTGCAAAACTGTCCATCTGAGAGATATAAGGTGCAGGCTCATGCAAAAGGGAATCATCACATCACCTCTTACAAGACAGAAAGCTATTGGTAACTTTAACGTGGCAGTTTTTCCAGCTTCATGGAACATCCAAAGATTCCCTCTTTGGAATCTTAGCTCCAGGTTCCATGACCTCCCCCTGCCCACAGCAGCCTGGGCCAACAATTGTCCTTGCCAGTGGCCTCTTCTTTTCTTGTCCAGGGGTTGCCATCTCTTCTGTATCAAGATCTACTTGCAGCATGATGCATGTGGCCTGGCTGGCTGAGGTCTCACTTTGAAAAGGAGAGGTTGGGTGGAAAGCCAAGAGATCAGAGAAAAGATCTAGTGTGCTGAGTAGTATCACCTTTCTTAATCAAGAGGAGCTGTTCTTCTTTTGGAGTCAGAGTCCTCCGAAGAGTCACAAGTTGACACAGTCATTGGGTGAAACCCAACTATTAGCTGAAAATTGGGTGATTTGAACTCATTCAGAGATGCCCAAAAGACAGGCCTATCAGACTACTTCCAAGAGGTCAGTCTTTAAAAATCCCATTGATTTTTGACAAGGAGATGAAATCAGTTAAGCGAGAAAATGACAGCCTTTTTAACAAATGGTGTTGGCAAAGTTGGAAAACTATCTGTAGGCTACTCAAGCAAGATCCACACCTCACTCCATACACAAAAACCAACTCAAAGTGGATCAAGGACCTAGGACTAAAATTAAGGACTATAAACTTCATTAGAAAAAAGCTTGGAAGAACTCTAGTCGTCCTAATCCACAACATAAACAGTCTTCCAAGCATCCTGAAAAACCTACAACCAAGAGAGGATAAAATAGATGAATGGGACCTTCTAAGAATAAAATCCCAATGCACATAAAAAAAAACTTCTCCAACAGGGTAAAAGAGAAGCCACAGACTGGGGGGGGGGAATGTATAGTAATGACATGTCTGATAAAGAACTTACAGCTAGAATTTATAAAATACTTGAGCACCACAACAAGATAAAGGAAAACAACGCATTTGAAAAATGGGCACTGGATATGAACAGACCACAGAAGACATTCAGATGGCAAACAAACACATAAAGAAATGTTAAAAATCCCAAGCTCTAAGAGAGATGTAAATCAAAACAACTATGAGATATCATCTCACCCGAGTAAGAATAGCAAAAACAACAAACGCTGGCAAGGTTTGGGAGAAACTGGAACCCTTATTCACTGTTGGTGGGAGTGTTAAATGGAGCAACCACTATGGAAGGCTGTATGGCACTTTCTCAAAAAGTTGAAAATAGAAATAACATTTGACCCAGCAATTCCACTACTGGGAATATACCCCAAAGAAACCAGAACTGCCACCCAAGAAGATATATGCGCACCATGTTTATTATGGCTTTGTTCACAATAGCAAAGAGCTGAAAACAACCAAAGTTCCCCTCAACAAATGAATGGCTAGAGAAGCTCTGTTATATTCACACAATGGATTACTGTGCTGCATTGAAAAATAAGGAACACATGAAATATTACACAAAGTGGGTGACCCTGGAGGACATTACGCTGAGTGAAACATCTCAGTCACAAAAGGACAAATACTGCATAGTGCCACTGTTGGAAAGCAGGTCTGACATCAGAGTGGGGGGAAACTAAGAAATGAGGGGATAAACAATGTATAGTGCATTGAAATAGATAAGAAAGAACTGTTTAGGAGGAATATATGATTAGGTATTATTGTCATAACAAGAGTTCAGAATGAAAGCTACATAGTTTAGTGGACTGGGAGGGAGGGGGCATTGTATAACAATGAAAGGGTTTTTGTGGTTGTTTTTTGTTTGTTTGTTTGTTTTACTTTTCAAAGAGAAAAGCAAACCAGTGGGGAAGGG